GAAAAAGTTGGAAATTTTTTTAGGAAATTTTATGATTTCCGGAAATCCTACCGAAAATTATGAAAAGTCCAAAAATTTTTACTTACAATTTTAAAATTTTAGGATTTTTTTGAGATCATTTGTATCAGAAGTTTTAAAATTTCCGTTAGTTTAAATTTTTTGAAAAATTTCTGGTACGTTTCTTCTTTCATTAGTTTTTGTTATTTTTTCAGTGAGGATCATAAGAAAGGACGAGTATATTGGAGGCAGAATAATCGATAGATCGACAATCCAGACTAGGGCTGCTTCTTGTTGAGGCAGAGGCTTCCCAGCTACAGGCTGAATGATTTTTTCGGATCGATTATCATCAGAAATAAATGGCTGAGAAGGCGCATGGTCAGTTTTGCGCACCTCAATGCTGAGCAGCTAGAGTTGTTGCTGAGGAGGTACCTGTTGTTGATGAAGTTCCTATCGCTGAGTTTATTGATGAAGAGGTTCCTGTTGCTGAAGAGCTTCTTGTGCCGGTTGTTAATGAGTATGTTCCTGTTGCTAAAGAGGTTCTTGTGCTGATTACAGATGCGGAGGTGGCTCTCATACCTCATATTGATGACGATGATGATGATACTCCTACTTATATATACGCTACAACTCATGCTGCTATAGAGGCATATGTTAACACTGGTGGAGCGTTCCTAGGAGGACCCCAGTGACCTATTAGTGCTCATGGAATATGCTAACCATGTTGCATACAGTTTATGGCAAGGAGATGCATATATGTTTGTTAATATTTGTAATTATATAATGTTAAGAATATTTGTATATATAATAGTCTCACATTGACTATAACATGTAATTAGCTATAATCTTTTTATATATAATAAAGTCTTCGTAGTGATTTTCAAAACATACAGTTTATTCAAATGTCTCTTAATCTCTCGTATTTTAAGATGGTACTAGAGCCTCGTTTAAGATCCGGTGGACCATTTGCTATCAGGTTTCTGCTATTGGACCATCCACCATTTTTTCCATGCTCCAAATGTCCAGTCCTATGCACGAGAGTGTGTTTTTTAAGAGTCCCGCATTAGACAATATATGGCTTCAACATGTCTTTATAAGTGGAGGCAATCCCCACCCTTCAAGCCGATTTTATAGGGTTGTGTTAGGCTCAACCGCATTGTTTTAAATATAGTATTAGAGTCTACTGAGAGACAACCCTTCACCGTGATTTACGTGGTTGATCCATTGTCTTTCGGTGAGAATTTTTGACAAACTGTGTCATTACTTCAGTTTTCCTTCCATACATTGTCGTGAATCATTCTAGAATTAGTTTTCAAATTTCTCTGGTCACGACTAGACTGCCGCTGCCATCCGTCTCCGCAACTACTATTTATGGCGAACTTCTAGCAAACTAACCCTATCGCCAGAAACACTTCCCACCCAATCCAATGCTTGAGCAGGTCAGGCATATTTTTTTTGATTTTGGTCTTCTGGAGTTCGCCAATTGCTCACTGACCATGCTTAACACTTCACTTTTGACTGCTTTTATTGAGCGGTGGCATAGGAAAACATCTTCATTTCATATTCCCTTTAGGAGATGTCTATCACTTTGGATGATGTCTCTTCCTTGTTCCATCTCCCTATTGCATATAGATTCTTTACTACTCTGTTATTAATCAGATGACAACATTTCTACAGGTTGTAGAGTATTTACAAGTCAATGAGGCAGCCATGCTAGATGAGTTTTAATTTAAAAAGGGAGATCACCTTTAGATGTATTGGCTTTGAGATAGGTACCACGATACTGTGGAGGTACAAAGGTATGTGACTGTATATACGAGCATTTCCCCAGCATTTGTGATAGGAGGGTGCATTATACCCATGCGGGAGGCCCACATGTGAGGAGATGGAAGGCCAGGAAATCACATGCAGGCGGTGTTTTAGAGTACAGAAGGAGGCTTGATGCTCTGAGAGTAAAGGATGTCTTATGGACACCATATACATGCCACATGGCCCACCATGAGTTTGAAGAGTCTTTTTTATATTCAGGTTATATGAGGTGAGAGAACTTAGTGGCTAGACACTTTCCTGGGAGGTGTATGCGACAATATGGGCATGTCTAGGGCATCTCATGCCCGATTTCGAATATTAAACCTGGTGACATTGACAGGTGGTTTCAGAGTAACACCACCAGCTCTACCAATGCCATTAAGGATAACACAATGAGGGTTCAACATGATGCACAATGTGATGACGGTTACCTGGAGTGGTACCTCACTATATCACACCCTCGCATCATCCGGTATGTTAGAGGGCCTTTCAATGTTGGGGTGCCTTCTGATGATAGGGTTTTTGAGGCTAAGGTACATGTTAATGACGTTCTGCCACTGCCACCTCCACCAGACACAGATAAACAGAAGCACCTACAGATGATCACTATTATTATGGATAACCTCATGAGTTTAGTAAACCAAGGTGATGAGATATTTACTGGATTATCTCGAGCAAGACACATAGTTCGTAGGGGGCCTATTTAGATATTTCATTTGATAGTTGTATTATTTGTATATTTTGTGACTCATTTTGTGACTCGGACTACTTAGCACAATACTTTTTACTACATAATATTTTGACGATTACATGTTTCAAACATTAACATAACTTAAAACATTACAACAAACTCGAACGTGAAAATAACTTAAAAATAATGAAACATGAACACCTAGACACTACTTGATGATTCTGGATGTTTCAACATCTTGATTATATCGTCGATAGATCTTGAAATATTCGCATCAAATTCGAACGGCCCCTTAGTTAGCCTACATCAAAATGATCTCCACATAACCGTCAAATCTTTATCATTCTTCAACTCAGTAAGATTGTAATTAACCCATCCATTTATATCAATCCAATCGTCACAAAAATCTATCTTTCTCACCTTTCTGTTATCGGTATCAAATAATAATTCATTCAACTTGAACTTAATATGAGGTTTGTCTCCGTTGAAGTACACTTCTTCCTTAATCAAAAAATGAGGAAGAGGCATTTTAAGATAATTTTATCAACAACAGATGACCCATATTTATACAACTTCAGATTCATTATGGACCACATAATAATGTAGGTGCAATCACGACCGCATAAAATTGCCGGTAAAATCCTGGTCGTTAAAATTTCTGAGTAAATGAACTATTGGAAATTTCATAATTGTGCTAAATTTATGGTATGTAATGCTACATTTTGAAATTTCCAGAAATATTTGTCGCTTTCCAGAAATTTCAATTGATCTACCTGGAATTTCATATGGCCTATCAAAAATTTCGTTCGGAAATTTTGTTTAATTTGGACCAGGGGAATTTATGCCATTTTCAAAATAGGGGGGAGGGGAGGGGGGGTGCCAAGTTAAATTTTAGGGATGGCAAGTTAAAACCCATACATGTGCACAAGTGCAAATCTATAGTTCCAGTATAGGCAACAATATAAATCTCAAAAGAAATTTTCACACAAAAATCGAGTGACATACTTATAGGCTTTTGATGTTGGCCGGTAAGCAAATAGTTGATCAGCTATGTTAATATATGAAATTATTCATTGCATTATATACATTTTTCACTAGTAAATTGTACATTGTATCCTATTCATTTTTCACCACCATGATAAAAATTTAAAAATATCTCTTTTGCACCGTTTGAAGTTTGAAATCCAAACACACCACAACACTACAAATCGAATTTGAGCATCACACCAAATGCATGTAAAATAATATGTCCAAATTACAAAATTCGAATGCACCATATGAATATGGAAATTTATACGCTACTATTTAAGTGACACAAACACTCTCTCCCTTTCCCTTCCTTTGCGTTTAAAAAAACAACTTCTCTCAAGAACACCAGAAACAAATTTGATTCCAACATTTTCAACTTTACTCTCAATATCTATTCATGTTCATTTAACCCGATACCTTTGTCAACTTCTACTCTTCCCCATTCAAGTGAAACAACTTCATCTCACACATTTGGTAAGTTTTCACATTCTTTTTTTGTTGCTTTTGATGCAAGCAATGTGATTCTTTAAATTATTCTAGCTAAACTCCATTAGGTTACATTCAATAGAAACTAATTATGCTACATTAGGTTACATCCTTCGTTTGAATCATTCTATATTGGGATTGGAGGGTGTCTGTTTGGTTTCTCACTAATATGAGAAAACCCAAATTCCAAAATCCATAGTAACCCATATGAAAATTCGGATTACAAAATCTATACCCTAATACAAATTACAAAATCCATTTTTTAAGTTTGTTATTCTTTTGGTCATTTTTGTGTGTTTTATAATGATATGCCTTGTCTTGTATGATTATGAAGGTGAGAAAAATACAAGAAGGGGGGTTGAATTGTGTTGAATTTTTCTCCTTTTTCACTTACAAATCTCTTATCAGATTCTGATCACAAAGGTAGAATGTGAGTTAGAGTCTAATGATGATAGCAACAGATAAAATAGTTTAGAGATAGAGAAGAGTTAAAGAGAGACACAACCAATTATCCTAGTTCCTCCCATAACTCAGGAGTAGTCCAGTCCCCTTGCACTTCCAATGAATTTCCACTATAACCAAATTTGATTACGAATTCTCAAGCACACAAGTAAGAGACTTACAATGCTCAAGCACACAAGCAAGAAACTTTTAATGCTCAAACACACAAGTAAGAGACTTTAATTATCAAGCACACAAACACGATACTTATAAATAATTAAGCACACATGTAAGAGACCTCAATTGCTCAAGCACACAAGCAAGCGAATTCCGAATCTAAACAAATAATTAAGAGAATGTGATAAACTACACTTGATATACAATTATAGGTGTAAATAGAGTATAACACAAGACTTAAGAAATTATAAGAATATACACATGGTAGGAAGTTATAAGTTAAGCTTGTGCTATAGATTTTCCAGAGTAACAACTATTTGATTGTCAAGGCACAATATTATGTTGTTCTAGTTCTGTGTAACCTTTTTCCATGCTTTCAACTTCTTTTATAGAGGGAACCAAAGAGACGTTGGAGAAGACTTCTTGCAAAAGTGAGTCTTCGAGAGAAACATCAACAAATGCGTTGGAAAGATTTCTGATATGGTTAATACCGTTGCAATGCCATTTGAAACTCATTTGCTACAAAAGGAATTATCAATTGCAATTATTCAAGCTTATGCAAATTTCTACTAAGTCTTCACGTGATCAGAAGAAGGAAAATTGACCTTAGAGTTTAACAGTAACCTATCAGACTTTCCTTGGTTCTTAAGCTTTGCCTGACTTCAGATTCCGATCTTTCAGAGTTTGTGTCTTAGCTTATAATCCTTCAGACTCTGAGTCTTTAGAGGTTGAATTTGTTTTTAAACGCTAACTTGATCAGAGTCTGGGATCTTCATATTCTGATCCTTCATAAGTTAAGTCTTTATGTTATGATCCATTAGAGGTTGGATTTTTTTCAGACTCTGGTCTCCAGAGTTGACTTCTTCAGAGTCTGATCATCAGATTCTACAACTTTAAGCTTCACTTTGAATGATCAATGCAACATTAAAACTGACTTTCAATCAATATTTAAATCTTTACACCTGCACACTTTAACACATATTAGTAATATCCAATTGTTCTTTAAATATTTTTTTTATCATAAAAACCTTAGGGATGTGTTACAAATAAATTTTGTTTCAAAAATATCCCTCTTTTTGAAACACAAGTATTTAAGAACAATGGGTATTGATTTAATTGACATATTGACTTCAGGGTCCGAGGTTTGTAAGTTTCCTCTGAGTCTGATAGTCCTAAGGGCGAGGTTTGTAAGCTCTCTCTAAGTCCTACCCAGGTTAATTAAATTTATCTTTAAAGCACAATAATAAAGCTTCAGTATTTAAATAATAAAGATTACCAACCAATCAAATTTAGATGCTTAAATACTTATTCATCTACTCCCCCTTTTGTCATCAACAAAAAGAAGTACGCATAATAAGCACATGAATAATTGAATCCTTAGATTAAACTGTTTGGAATATTATAAATCTGGATGAAATTATCAAAATCAATCTTTTCTTTCCCCAAAAAATTTTAATAAGAAAAATCAAGTTTCAAAGACTTTGAAAAATGGCTAGAATGCTGGAGAACAACATCTTCAATTCTCAAGATGGTCAACTCTCGGTTCTAACAACTGAGCATAGATCATTAAGGGTCAAATCTTGGAAGAAGTTCATGAAGACAAAGACAAGCTCTCTCTCTCTCTCCTATGTTCATTTGTGCACATAATCTAAGACAAACTGAGCTTTTTTCCATAATCTCTATATAAGCAAATTCTTAATACCAGTAAAAACACATTCTTCCTTCATTCTAACTCTTATCTTATCAAGCAATATGGGTAAGACAAAGTCAAATTAGAATTTAAGGAGACAATTTTACAAATAAATTAGCAAGCTCATGAAGAAGAAGGAGAAGATCAAGTCCACTGAAGATGCAAGAATTCAAACGACAACATCCTCTGGAACATCCAAGACTGGAAAAGATTTAGAGACAAGAATGAAGAAACCCAAGAAAAACAAGGATCCTGCTGAATAAGATGGTCATGTCTCGGTCCTGACAACTGAGCATATATTGGTAGGGGTCAAATCTTGGAAGAAGTGCATGAAGACAAAGATAAGCTCTCTCTCCTATGTTCATTGGTGCACACAATCCAAGACAAACTGAGCTTTTTTCCATAATCTCTATATAAGCGGATTTTTAATACCAACAAAAACACATTCTTCCTTCATTCTAACTCTTATCTTATCAAGAAATATGGGTAAGACAGAGCCAAATTAGAATTTGAGGAGATAATTTTACAAAGAAATTATCAAGCTCATCAAGAAGCAGGAGAAGATCAAGTCCATTAAAGATGCAAGAATTCAGACTGTCACATCCTCTAGAACATCCAAGACTGGAAAAGCTTTAGAGACAAGGATGAAGAAACCCAGGAAGAACAAGGATCCCGCTGAAGAAGTTGAATACGACTCAATTGTTGATGAGGAGTATGTATCTTTCCTCATGCCTTATGAATGTGATGAAGAAAAAGTTAGAGAGATTTATCTCCTTTTTTAATGTATTTATTGTCTTCTGATGATGATTCTGACTTTTGTAATCATTTATCAGATCAATAAAAATTAGTCTTTTCACATTGTTGCATATTATTCTCTTTTCACTAACTTCCTTTAAATGACACATGAGAGGATAAAAGATAACAATAAAAGAATTTCCACTTATATGCTATCAGAAATAATTAATCAATTTTTTAGCATTGAAGACAAATATGCTTCTAAGTCTACTATTCATCAGAACATAATTTAGAGCTTCTGATCAGAGTAACTTCTGATCATCACTAGACTCTGATCCTTCATTCAGAAACCAACACCATTCTTTAACAAAATGCATGTTTAGATTCTTTTTAATAAAATCAAATCTTTCAACAATAAGAGGTTTGGTAAATATATCATCCCCTTGATGATCAGTATCAATGATCTGTATATCTATTACACCATAATAAACATAATCTCTAATAAAATGATGTTTGATTTCTATGTGCTTGTTATAGAATATTGAACATGATTCTTTGTTAGACAAATAACAATAATATTATCATAAGATATAGGAATATTGCTTTCTCAAATATGATAATCTTCGAACTGATACTTCATCCAGAGAAGTTTTTTTTACAAAAACTAGAAACTAAGATGTATTTAGCTTCTGTTATGGAAAAAGCAATAATTTTGTCTCTTACAAGCCTAGGATATAAGATTTTCACTTACGAATTGACAGTTTCCACTAGTGGATTTTCTTTCAATTCTATCCCTATCATATTCAGGATCACAAATCTAACTAGCTTATAATCTAGGGATTTCTTACAAAGCAATCCTAAGTTAGTTGTACTCTTCAGATACCTAAAGATTCTTTTAACAACAGTTAAGTGAGTTTCTCTAGGATCTGATTGAAATCTAGCACACAAACATACACTAAACAAAATATCAGGTCTAGAAATAGTTAGATAAAGTAATGACCCTATCATACTTCTGTACAACTTCTAACAAACCTTGGTGCAACTTTCCTCTTTACTTAGATTGCAGATTGAATGCATATGAGTTATCATGATTTTGCTGTCAGCCATCTTAAACTTTTTCAGAAGTTCCTTTGTGTGTTTGGTCTGATCAACATAGACTCCATCTCTACACTAATTTATTTGAATTCTAATGAAGAACTTCAATTCTCCCATCACGCTCATCTCAAATTCAGCCTACATAGTCTTAGAAAATTCCTTGCAAAGAGTAGCATTAATAGAACCAAAAATGATACCATTACATATGCTTGAACAATACAAATTTCATTCCTCTGTGTCTTTCTTAATAGTATAGTGTCCACTTGACCCTTTTAAAACCATTTTCTAACCGAAAATTGTTCAGTCTCTCATACCAAGCTCTAGGAGCTTGTTTGAGTCCATAAAATGATTTCTTTAGTTTGAAAATATATTCTGGGTGGACATAGTCCTTAAATCCAGGTGGTTGTTTGACATACACTTCTTCAGAAATGACACCATTTAAAAATGCACTCTTAACATCCATCTGATATAAGATACTATTTTGATTAGTAGCATAGGAGAAAAGTAGTCTGATTGCCTCTAACCTTTTAACATGTGCAAGGGTTTAAGAGAAATATATACCTTCTTGATGACTATATCCTTGAAACACAAGTCTAACTTTATTTCTTACCACTTCTCCTTGTTCACTAAGCTTGTTTCTAAAGGTCCATTTTGTTCTTACAGTGTTCTTCTAATGTGGTTTAGGTACCAAATCCCAAATATCATTTCTTTGAAACTGATTCAGCTCTTCTTGCATAGCCACAAGCCATCCATCATATAAAATTTTTTCATCAATCAAAATAGGTTCAATCATAGAGATAAGTCGTAACATAAAGTGTTCATCTCTGAATGCAGATTTTAACTTAAAAAAGGCCTCATAATTTGTTTAATTTAGTTATAAAAATATATAATAACACATTAGTAACATATGTTATCATAGATGAGTTGGTAAAATACATGTCTCTTTTATTTTTGGTTTTGAGTTTAACTCTTAACAACCACAAAATTATTATTTTAAAATATATAAAAAATAAAAAAAAAAATAAAAAAAAGGGAATGGAAAAGAGCACAAACCGGCGGCGAAAAAACTCTGCAAAGGATGCACGTGATCCTAGTGTGATTCGCGTGGTGGTTCTGTCGGTGGTTGGCCGTGGCTGAAGGGGAGTTCATATGTGGCTACATGGAGGACGGTCAGACGTGATTTCCTCGTCTGGATTTGCGCTGCCAGCGTGGTGTCATGGTCATTTGATTTCGCGATTAGAATTCTTTCCTTCCTCTGTTTTGATTTGCTGTTGCATATGATTTTCGGATTAATCCAATTTTTTCTACTTCTATTTATGTTGTGTTTTTTTGTGATTGTGAAGTTGTTGTTTTTTTCTTTCCAATTTGGTTGTTGTTGAGTGGATTTGCAAGTTGATTGAAATTGACGAGAGGTGTTGTGTGCTAATGGTGGATTTGACGGTATGAAGGGGATGATGAATGGTGTCGATGTGTTTGGTTTATGTGTATGTCAAATGGTTTTGGTAAAGAAATAAAAAAAATGGTTTTTATAGTGGTTATGAGGAAGATTGTAGGTAGGGAAATTGGTGAGGGTGTTGTTAATGTTTGTGAAGGAGATTGGTTTATGGTGTGTAATAATTTATGGTGATGAAATAGTTTTAAAAGAAGGTGATAGATGTTATAAGGTGGAAGATTATGGTGGTCTTATGAACATGGTAGGTGATGATGAATAGGTGAAAATGGTTTTTGTGTGTTGGAAGGAAGAACCAACATGAGGTAAATGTCAGGTTATTTTACTATTTGCTTTTTGGCGTTCCCTTTTTATAGCCCCTTTGAATTAACCAAAAATGAAATCAAAAGGAAAGAAAATAAAGCAAAAATAATTAGCATTAAGAATATCAATTAAAATGGTTTACCATCCTTTCCAATTTGATATTTTTTTTGTTTTTAAAAGGAAATGTGCACAGTTAATTATTTATTGTTATTAATATTTTTTATTTTTTATTTTAAAGAAAAAAGAAAAAAGTTAAATTAAATTAAAAAATAAAAATCTAAGAAAAATGAACAAATAAAAGGATAATTAATACAAAAATAAAAAATAACAA